GTCTGTCTCTCTATCTACTTCTCCATCTCTCTACCTCTCTCTCTTCCTCTCTATTTTTATCCTATCTATCTATCTATCTGTCTGTCTGTCTGTCTGTCTATCTATCTTCTACCTCTACCTCTCTCTCTTTTTATCATCTGTCTGTCTCTGTCTGTCTTCTGTCTGTCTCTCTCTCTCTCTCTCTCTCTCTTTCTCTCTCTCTCTCTCTCTATATATTATATATATACTTCTCTATCTCTCTACCTCTCTCTTCCTCTCTATTTTTATCTTATCCTATCCTATCCTATCCATCTATCTATTTCTACCTCTACCTCTACCTCTACCTCTACCTCTACTCTCTTTTTATCATCTGTCTGTCTCTGTCTGTCTGTCTGTCTGTCTGTCTGTCTGTCTGTCTCTCTCTCTCTCTCTCTCTCTCTCTCTCTCTCTCTCTCTATATATATATATATATATATATATATATATACTTCTCTATCTCTCTACCTCTCTCTTCCTCTCTATTTTATCCTATCCTATCCTATCCTATCCTATCCTATCCTATCCTATCCTATCCTATCCTATCCTCCTATCCTATCTATTTCTACCTCTACCTCTACCTCTCTTTTTATCATCTATTTGTCTCTGTTGGTCTGTCTGTCTGTCTGTCTATCTATCTATCCATCCTATCTATCTATCTTCTATCTATCTATTCTATCTATCTATCTATCTATCTATCTATCTATCTATCTTTCTGCTGTTGGGAAAAATGGAAGGCAAAAGGAGAAGGAGACAGCAGAGGAGGAGACGGCTAGGTAGTGTCATCAATGCAATGAACCTGAATTTGGGCAAACTCTGGGAGACAGTGGATGATGGGGGCTGATGAGCTATGACCCACAGGGTTGCGAAAAATCGGACACGACTTCACGATTGAACAATCACAACCAAAGTGAAGTTCGGGTCAGTCCCCTTTCCCAACAACCTTGCATTTTGCTTGGATGGCTTCACTATGATTACCACCCGCTAGTTAACATAATAGGGTTTTTTTTTTCCCCTCTGCATGAATTGAAATGGTAAATTGGTTCTATAGGTTTAACTGCTTGTGGGCTCTTCAGATGACCAGAGTCCTTGTTCCTCAAAAGGAAGCAGATTTTCTTGAGCTCTTGACCAACCACTCAAACTCTTCCACGAGGCTGAGCTTGCTCTACACCAGGGGTGGGCAACTGTGGCCCTTTTACAACCTGTGGACTTCAACTCCCAGAATTCCTGAGACAGCCAAACTGGCTCAGGAATTCTAGGAGTTGAAGTCCACAGGTCATAAAGGAGCCATATTTGCCCACCCCCTGCTCTACGCTAAACAGAGATGGTTCCCTGAGATGTTAGGCTTGCAGGCACCATTAAATAATGACAAATCAACATGGTTCTTTACAGGGTTGTGGGAAATGTTCAAGATCTGGGGACCAACAGATCACTTTCTGGTTCAGCCTTCCAGAAATTTCTTTTGGGATGCCCCCTGAAGAAAGATCCGTCATCTTTTTATATGTTAGATGCTGAAGATTAATAGGAAAACCATCAAAGTCCCTTCCTTGTTTAGAATCTATTTTTTCATTTTTTAAAAAAATCCATTTTTTTTCATTTCTTCCATTTCCCCTCCCCCCCAATTCCCTATGGTGTGAAAAAAGTGTTTAAAATTCCCACGCGTAAAGCTATTATCTTCCCCTCGGAATTCTGCAGGATTTTCTGAGTAAGATCCTGCAACCTTGAGTGGTAACGTTTTTGCGACTTATGCAATATCCGAAGCATAGATATTCACTTATCTAAGATAAGTGAATTCCACTTTTTCTTTTTAAGAAAGCTTTGCTTCCCCTCAACATCTCCACATAGCTCACCCCTAGATGGGTTCAGCTTGATTTTCGATCAAATCTCATGACAATCTCAGTTTGCTTTTTAGTCTTATTGAGAGAAGCTGAATTTTACGACATCTATTCCCTCCCCAAGCAGTCCACAACGAACCTTTAGAATTGTTACAGAGAAGGAGGAGGTGCGGGTCACGTGGCAGAAATTATATAAAGCAGGATGAATTTCAGATGAAAGATTTCCAGCTGGGTGACTGAACAAAGAACAAAATATCTTGCTATATTATGCAATCTCATATATTAACGTTGACTTCTAGAGGGCTTCCTATCCCAAAGCCCTCAGATTCTCATCCAAGATAGCCATGGGAGGCCATGGAGGTTGAACATCAAGGTAGCTAAACTCCAACCCATCTGAAGGAACTAATCTTGTAGGGGAAAGCTGCTGTCTGTCAAGTTCCATCAGCAAAAAATCACACCAAGCCATGGCCAACAGACAGTTGAAGCACCAAGGCTGGCATTTCGTAATTGCTTCCCAAATGGTTTAATCTACAAAAGGTAGTAGGTCCCAACTCAAAAGTTAGTGGCTGAGATGGGGTACCTAGAGATCACAGACTGATTGACCCATCCCAATTGTCATCCAGAAATCTCCAGATCAGAAACCTGTGATCTTTGGAAAAAAAACTTCTTGGTTCTGCTGGACAGGCCGGAAGCATTTAATTAGAAGAATTCCTATTTTTAGGAGATGCTGTAATTTGGCTGTGGTCGCAAAGCTTGCAGCCACGGTGAGAGTTTTCACTAGCGCACCCATCCTCACATCCTTCCTCTCATTTTCAAGCATTCCCCCCCTCTTTCAATTCAGAAATCCTGTCCCCCCACCACCACCAGAAGCATGCAACGCAATCCCATCAGAATGGTTGCATAGCTGTTGCCTTTGCTCGCATCGTGAAATCTTTGGCAATCAAAGTCACACTCAGTTGGCTTGTTCCAGGAATTTTGAACTTGGGCAGTGATACTGAAGCCCAAAATATATACGTGTCATTGATTGAACCTACATTTAAGAACCTAGATTTGTGTTTGAAAATAATCTAGATGCCGGGCCTTGGAAGACCAATCGATTTTTTGCAAGATTGGTTGCTTAGATTTCCAGATCCTTATATGCCCTCTGTGCCCTCCATCTTCAGCTCATTTATCTACATCATCTCTGGTTTCCAGAAATCCATATTTTTCATTGTCTTCCCTGTGAGCGGCCAAGATTTCATCTTGTGAACACCTTGGGCAATGAACAAGCCTCCCTACTATTCTTGTACAAGCCAGTCCTATAAAAGACAGTAACATTTATTGATTTTGTATCTATCCACCTCTAAAGAGCAACGCGATTAAGATGTGACTTCTTGGATGGATTCGATTCTGAGATAAAAGCGAAGCCACTCATTCTTTCAAAGGAAAGGAAACAATATTAAGGATTAATTCAGAACTTAGGTTATCTAACTCAAGATGGCTTTCCCTACTTGAGTTCCAATTAATTTTCCTTTTTTTTTTTTTTAAGGGTTCCCTCTGAAAATGCCGATGACTGAACTAGCATCCTTTGGCACGAACAGCCCCAAACATGTGCTAAAATTAATAATCCTACCAAATTCCGTTACAGCCCAGATGTCCACATATATAGTTCCACTGCATTTCCCCTGACCAGAACTATCTAAATGATACGGAAGTTCTCCCAAACACACAGTCGGTGCCTTGGATTTAGCTGTTTTGATATCTTCCCATGATTGACAGCTTAGGAAAGTGCAAGTAAAATAGGATCCAGAGAGGCAAAAGACCTCTCTGTTCATTTCCAGGGTGGATTCTGTCACTTGGGGATTTTGTCCCACCCACCCCTCCCCCGAGGTGATAGTCGCAGTTGTTGCTTCTCCTGAACTGAGAAATCAAACCTTTTGTTCTTCCAAAAGTCAAAGGGTTGAGTTTTTCCAGCCCGACACATGAACACCCACAGAATAACTTGAGCTATTCCACTGATTTGAGAAGACCTCAAGACACATTGGCTAGCTACAGGACCTAGACGGTCAAAGCGTCATGAAACAAATGAGACTTGATCATTCATTCCTCCAAATTTGGCTCGGGATCAAAGGCTGCCCCCTGTTAATCTTTCCCGGTCCAGTTGTCCATTCTTTCTGAGACCCCAGATTCCAGGAGAAAGACCAATCCCTAACACAGAGACCCAACCACCAAAGTATGATTTGCAGCATGAGAAAGATGTCTCTTTCCATACCTCCCCACCCACCCACCCACCCCCCAAAATAAGACTTTCTACCTCCCATTCTCCCTTTGGCAAAAAGATCACGCTTCCCCCATTTTTCAATTGGTCCAGGAGTTGGGTGAGAGACCGGAAAGAAAGGTGGCAAGACCAAGAAGAAATGCAAGAAGGAAACCTTCCTTCACCCACCTACCCACCCCAAGGAACAAACCAAAGGGGAAGGGGGCAAACCCTCTCTTCCTTTCTCCCTTGCCATCGGAGAATGCCATGCCTGTATTGACCTGTGTTTGCGTGTGTGCCGTGCGGGTGCGTGGGGGTGGGGGTGGGGTGGGGTGGGGTGTCAGAAGGCTGCAGTGCTTTGTCCACGGCACGTCTGTAACGGTTGCCCACCACGAGACCATTTGAGGTGGACAGAGGTGGGGTGAGAAGGAAGACTAGCAACGTGGTACGGTCAAAGGGAAAGAACACCCAAGTCCAAGGCAGAGAGAAAGGATGGAGAAGTAGTGGTGGTGATGGGGGAATGAATATTCGGTCTGGTTCCAAGGGCGGGGTGGGGGGGGGGCAGCAAGGGAAAGGGGTCTTAACTCAACAATGAAGATGCTGTTGGCTTCATCCCTAGCAACTCCCCAATAGCTCAGAGAGCTCAACAGCAGCGCCCTCAAACCCTCCCCACCCCCAGCTCCTTCCCCAAAGCCTGGGTCACTGGGAACCCATCGCATCTTTTCAATCTAAGACCAGTCTATTCTCTCGTTCCTGTCTCTCTTGCCCCCCCAACCCTCCACCCCCCCCTCCAGAGACGGATTCCCGGAGCATAAAGGATCTGTGTCTAGTTCTGCAAAAGAAATAAAGGGGGGGGGGGGAGGAAGGGTTGGGGTGAGGGGAGAGGAGAGGAGAGGAGGGAAAGAGAGAGGTACCTTATTCGGGGAGCCTGAATCGCCTTCTCTCTTCATCGCAGCCGTGCCTATTCATCCTTTAATCCTTGAAAACAGAGGCACAATTCAAAACATCGTCTCGCACGAGGTTCTTCCCAATGGCTCCTTCCCATTGCTTGCTTGCCTTGCCTTTTTTGGGGGGGGGGTAGGTTGTGGTTGTGGGGGGGTTTTTTTTGTTGTTGTTGTTGGGGTTTTTTTTCAGGAGGGGGAAAAAAAATTCCCAAGCAATCTCCCCCTCTCCGTTTCCCTTTCCACCTCCGAGCAATAACCAGGAGGAGGAGGAGGATTAAAATCAAATATATACTGTGTCTGTATAGCACAGCATCACAGTTTCTCTCTTCTGCATGGTTTGCTGTCTTCTTGTAAAGAACCCTGCCTTGGCGCTGGCTTGCCTCGGAAGGGAGGGAGGGAGGGGAGAAATAAATAAATAAATAACAAGAGCGGCTTCGGAGAGAAAGGAAAGAAGGAAGGAACGAGGAAGAGAGCCTTGAGGAGGAGAGGAAGAGAGAATGAAGGAGGAAGGGGGAGGGAAAGGGCAGTGGGAGGGAGCAGGGAAAAAAAAAAGAGGCTGATGCTGGCTTCACATTTGTGTCTGATGGGGCTTCGCTCTCCTTAAGCCTTGGCCCCCACCCCCTTGGAGAATAAGAGGTTCTCCTGATGCTGATAATGGCCTGTACCAATTTATTGCACTTAAGCAGGGGGGGCATTTCTCCTAGCGAAGGGAAGACGAGCCACGCCAGCCTCCCCGAGGTCCCCTCGCCAAATTGGTTTCTGCTGGCCGATTTGTCATAGCATCTCCCGCTGACCTTATTGCATGCTGGAGTTGGTAGGAAATGCTAACGCCACCAACAGCCCTAGGAAGAAGGACAGCAGTGGCAACTACTGTAGGAGCAAAAGAGAGGAAGGGATGGGGAGGGGGAAACCTTGGGCTCGGGGTGGGGGTGTGGGGGGAAGCGTGAGGTTGGAGGCCAGCTTGGAAAACTCCCCCATGGCTAGCGAAGTTCAAGGCTGGCCAATGGTCTAAGGCTGGCATGGTTGAAAGCTTCAGGCATCGACTCTAGAGAAGCGCCGAAGCTTTTGAACTTCCATTCTTCATTTTTGGCAAGAAGTCATCGCTCTCCTGGTAGAAATCCTGCTTCCTGTTTGTTCTTGTTCTTGCACTGTGCCTGGTCACTCCATTGACTTAGCAAGGATGGGTTAGTACAATTTGTTGTTGTTGTTAGTTGTGAAGTTGTGTCTGACCCATTGCGACCCGATGGACAACGTTCCTCCAGGCCTTCCTGTCCTCTGCCATCCCCCAGAGACCATTTAAGATCACGCCGACTGCTTCAGTGACTCCATCCAGCCACCTCGTTCTCTGCCATCCTCTTCTTCTTTTGCCCTCCATCGTTCCCAACATTAAGCTCTTCTCCAGGGAGTCCTTCCTTCCTTCTCATTAGGTGGCCAAAGCATTTGAGTTTCCTCTTCAGGATCTGGCCTTCTAAAGAGCAGTCAGGGTTCATCTCCTCTAGGACTGACCGGTTTGCTTGCCTTGCAGTAGAAGGGACTCGCAGGAGTCTTCTCCAGCACCAAAGTTCAAAGGCCTCCATTCTTAATTTTTAATTCAATTTTTAAGGTTGCCATGTCTGGGCTGTAAAGATCCAGATGACCACTAGAAGGCAGCAAAGAGATGGGGAAACCCAACCCTCCTCTTCCACTGGGTTAATCAGGATTGTTGGAGTTCATAGATAATACCCCTCTTAGGATTTTTTCCCAAAAAAACCTTCCAACTCCGCTTTTCAAGTAAAAGGATGGTCTTTTTTTCCCCCCTTAACGCTGATCTCCTAGGTCAACGGTGACATTGACAGCTCTTCCAGAATGATTTCTTCCTCTTCGTGTTGGATAAGATGATAATTTGTTGGGTTTTGAATCCACCTATTTTGCCTTCCATAACTTGGAATCTGGGAACCAGAAGATGGAGCTGAAGAGTAGCTTTCTAAGTGGTGAGAGTGGAACACAAGTTAGGGAAGAAGTTTATGGAGATTCTTCAAGTTGAAGGACCTGGAAAGAAGAGAGACCACAGAGCTGCCTGCCTAAGCCCCGGAGGGTTTTAAGAGCAGATGGTTAGCTTGTTATTAGACTACTGCTACAGGCATGAACCTTGGGTTTGAGCATTGACTCTAAGATGCAGACACATCTGCAGTATTTCTGCGTTTTCCATCTACAGCAATAACTGGTCACAGAGCATGGCCTTGTTACAAAAGAGGGTGTGGTTTTTTTCAATTATGTGGATGCCATGGAAGATGCTCTCCATAACTAAGTCTGAGTCAACACGTAGAAATTCCAGCGAGAAAATGGAGTCAAGCTAGAAATTCAAGCTATTCTCCAAAGCATCTGAGGGCAGGACAAGAAGCAATGGGTGGAAACTAATCAAGGAGAGAAGCAACATAGAACCAAGGAGAAATTTCCTGACAGTTAGAACAATCTATCAGTGGAACAACTTGCCTCCAGAAGTTGTGAATGCTCCAACACTGGAAGTTTTTAAGAAGATGTTGGATAACCATTTGTCTGAAGTGGTGTAGGGTTTCCTGCCTAAGCAAGAGGTTGGACTAGAAGACCTCCAAGGTCCCTTCCAACTCTGTTATTCTATTCTATTTTATTTTAAATGTTCTATAGGGAGGTGAAACCAGAGCTCTAGGTAGCTTCTTGACTTCAGAGATGTTCCAGAATGTCTTCTGCTCTAAAAAGTGAAAATAGGCATTCACAACACCTCTCTTTCTCTCTCTCTCTCACACACACTCCTTTATCACTCCATCATCATTCGTCCTTTTGCCCAAAATGATTGAAATATGGTTTTTTTTCCCCTTTATCGACACCTGTTGACCTCATCTGGCCTACAGAGGGGATGGAGAAGGGGTGATGCGATTAGGACTATCCCACAAATGCATCTCTTCGTACATGACAAATGGACCCATCAGAAAGATAGCAAGTAGTTTTTAAAGCTTTGGACAATTTGGTCTAGGACCGTGATGGCAAACTTTTGGCACGTGTGCCACAGGTGGCACGCAGTGCCTTCTCTGTGGGCACAAGAGCCATCGCCCAAGTTCAGCTCCGCTGCGCATACTCTCGCACCTCCCGCCAGCCAGCTGGTCTTTGAGACTGTGCACACATGTGCGGAGGAAGGGAGGTGCATGAGCAGGGGACAGGGCACATGCGTCAGGGCGCGCATGCAGGAGGGCGCATGTAGAGGGGCATGTGTGGGGGCGGGGCACATGCGTGGGGGCCGCACGCTTTGGGCACTCGGTCCAGAAAAGGTTAGCCATCATTGGTCTAGGACGGGTGAAATGTAAAATTTGTTACTACCGGTTCTGTGGTTCTTGCTGGAGGTCTTGGGATTCGCTCCGTGGGAGCCACTTCTCTGTGCAAAACAGATGTTCTAGCTTGATAGGAATCTACCGGTAGTTTTGTTATGTTTTTGTTTTGTTTTCCTTCTGACATTCCAATTTTCGGCGTGAACAGTCTCATTATTCTCTCCGTGCTTGGCACTTGATTAGTATAACATGCCTGAAGCCCTCCTGTCCAGGAAATGACATACCCGTAGGTTACACAATTTTGTTTTATTTTTTTTTTGCAAAAGCACACCACAGACTAAGATAAAGTATTGCTTTCTTTCTTCCCCTCCCCCCCTTTTTTTTTTGTTGGTGGGTTTATTTGGGGAGTCTGGCTTGGGCACTGAATTAAAATCCTACTGAGGACACTTTATAAAGGCATGTGATTTACTGCTCACCAGGAGACATTAGTCCCCAAACAATCTCCATCCTGGCCTTTTGCCAAGGTAGGCATCGGAGAGAAGCGATGGGCAGTCGGATGACGCGTCCGGCGGTTACTGAATCACTCCTGCTGGCTTTCCGTGACTTAGTAAACTCCTTCTATGCAGACGTTTGCCAGAATCGGCTCAGGTAGCTATAGATCATGAGCCCCCAAATGGATAAAGGTAACTCTGAGCCGGTATCCTTCCATGCATAATAAATGCAATAAGTAGTTTAGCCCGAATCAATGTTTTTCCTGAGGCCACGTTCAAAGATTTTTGAGCTACAATCTTGTTGATGGACCAAGGCAACCAATCTTATTTTAGAAAAAAAGGAGAAGAAGGAAGAGGAGGAGGAGGAGGAGGAGGAGGAGGAGGAGGAAGAGGAGGAGAAGAGGAGGAGAAGAAGAGGAGGAAGAGAAGGAGAAGAGAAAGGAGGAGGAGAAGAAGAAGAAGAAGAAGAGGAGGAGGAGAAGGAGAAGAGAAGGAGGAGGAGGAGGAGGAGGAAGAGGAGGAGGATTATCCAGGTTGTAATGGATAGACTGTGTTGAAATTTGCGATGCAGTTTATTCCGGAGTTTACTTCTTCTGTGAAACAAGACTGCAGAACTTGGCAGAGAGAGACCAGTGGTGGGATTCAGGCAGTTCGGTAGAACCGGTTGTTAACTGTCTGAGCAGTTTGGTGAACTGATTGTTGGAAGAAATCATTAAGGCAGAGAACCAGTTGTTAAATTATTTGAATCCCACCACTGAGACATAGTAGTTTGCCTAGATTAGTTGATCCTTTGACCTAACCAGTGATGGTTCTATCCGGTTTGGGCAAACCGGTAGCGGTGGTTGCAGGAGGCTCCGCCCACCCGCCCGGACATCATCACATCCCGTTTTTGACCCACTGCACATGTGTGGAGGTGGCACATGCGAGCGAAGAGTGTGTGTATGTGTGTGTGTATGCACACTCACATTTGCGAACCAGTAGCGAAGGTAACTGAACCCCTGGACCTAACTCAGCTGGATTCTCCTTACAGGCTTATGGGATATGGGTTTTTTTTTTCCTGTGCAGATCTCCACCTGTGATTCAATCAGCATGTACAAAAACAAACGGGAAATCAGGACGGGCCGTGAGGAAAAGTAATGGGCTTGATTTGCAAAAGGAGGACATCCTGCTGAAGGTCTCCCACCTATCAGCCGCTATCACAAGAGGGGAATGAAAAGTAGAAACAGCCCAACCCTCAAAGCCAGGACAACAATAATAATCGTAATGTTATATGCACACTGGGTGCTGTACCAAAAGAAAATATATCTTCGATGGCACTTAGAAAATCTGTGCATTGACAACATTTCCATCTGTCCATGAAAAAAAATGCCACGTGGCTTGGATCCACATACATACTACAGTGATACATTACGACATCCTAGGTCAGTGATGCTTAATCTTTTCCAGACTGAGTGCCCAAAGCGAGGGGCCAATCATCTCCTGGCCTTACTCCTGAGTTGTCCTTTTTGCTTTAGCTGCTCTTGCCTTCTGGCAGCTCTTCGCATGTGTGCACTAGGAACAGGCTCCTCCTGCTCCTCTGCCTCTCTGCTATCCGCCTCTGGAGGCTCCAGAGTCCGCGCATCACTTCCAGATGGCCCTGGCCCCATCTCTGCCTCTGACACAGAGCCCTCATCCAGACCTTCCCCAGACGCCAGGACTGGGGATAGTCCTCCCCAGCCTCCTCATTGTCTGACTCCGCTGCCAGCTCTGCAGGCTGCTGGCGGACCACATCACCCACAACTGCCATGCCAACTTTTGCACCAGTTGCAGCTTCTGGATATTCTTCAAGGGCAGC